AAATTTATTATGGAATGAGGTATATGTATATATATAATTACAGTTGTTTATATATATATATATAGGTATACGATTTAATAAATTTATGATATGTATGGAAAGTGGTATATATGTGCTATAAATAATCAATGATTATTAGGGACAGTATTATACACCTATATATATATATATATTATTAAATATATGTGTATATATATATACCATTTATGATTGTTAAATATTACAAATCATATTTGGTGTATCTTGGTTTGTAGATGGTATGGTTGATTTAAAATCGCAATAGGGTGGTTATTAAGTTAAGGACATGCTTATAATATGCATGTGAAGTCTATGTATGATTAAACTTATAGTTAAGTTTAAAGTAATGGCATGGTTGAATTGTAGGCATGGATGAGTTGCCAAATACTGTAATATATTGTCTTATTATTTATGAATAAATTTCATATATGAGAAATATAGTTGAATTGCTAATAAATGGTATAAGTATCTATGGATATGGAACGTATAAGTTGATTAGGACTTGGTATTCTTATTAGAATAGTCTAGTATCTAAATGTATAGTCTAGTATCTAAATGTTAGTTATTATTTTATTATTTTAGTAAAGTAATAATGGTAAAGATATGGACTAATTGTCAAAGCATAGACATTAACTATGTGATAAAGATAATTGAAATTATTATTTGTTTTGGATTAAATATGGTATTGTTTTGTTTTTTTAAAAAAAAAAATTGTTGTTTAATTAAGTTATTGTCTGGGAGAGTTAAGGTTGGAGGAGTTTTTTTTTAAAAGAAATATATGTTGGTGGATAGGTTTAGGTAGGATGCTGATTAGAGTTGAAGATACCGTAAAATACACGTCCCCGTATGTAATGCTTTATTCATTTTGGTTACTCCGTTTAATTCGTGTTTATACTTTAGGGTAACCTAATTGTTTTTTTATTTTTTTTTATATTGGTGTATTTTTCTCAAACACACATTTTTAACACAAACTATTGTCTTTTGTTTGGTATAACCATTCTCTTTCACACTATCAAAATAATACGTGAGTATATCACTTTTATTTATTATTATTATTTTTTTAATCTTTGTGTTGAAACGTTTGTATGATTTCTCCATCTTTCTCTCTTCGAACATTTATATATGGAGCGATGATAGTATAAAATAAAAATTAACAATCTGGAATCAAAAATAATAATTTAATTTATTTTAAGGGTTTTTTTTATTTTTTTTTATGGCAATATTAGACATCTTATAACATTCCAGAATATTAATTAGATTGATTTTATTAAAAAATAATGTAAGCCAATGAAAATGGTATTTTTGACAAAAATCATTCCATTCCAAACTTAATGGTGGTCAACCAAATAATAGAATGGTAATAATTATTTCATTCCTTAACAATTCACCATGTCACACCAAACATGGAAAGAAAATACTTATTCTATTTTCATTCTCATTTCATTCCAAGTTATATTTCATTTCATTTTTGCACACTAAAACAAAAAATAAAATATCCAAAATCCAAGAAGTAGCCCAAGTGCAACAAAGTGAGTTTGTAAATTTTCCTGTATTAAAAAATAATAAAAATAATAATACTCGTGCACATGACTTTGCTTGTCACGTGGCCTAGATGGTGGAGCTAAGTTTGACTAAATGCAATGGTGGAGGAGAGTGAGTGGTATTTAATACACTGCCCCCAGAAAAGCGGCGAATTTAGCTTTTCTGACCTTTTTACCTGAAAACGTCATTTCATTATTATTGAAGCCATCAATGAGATGCTTCCACTTTCTGATCAAAAGTCAACGGCCTTTTCTCGCCCACTACTTTTTGTTCTTTTTGTCTTCTTTAGCCTTTCTCTCTCCTCTCCTACGCCCTATATTAATCATATCATGAGCTGCCCATGCTATCGTGCGCACAATACTCTTTTTCATGAGTGAAGATAGAGTGGTGGCGCCCTCACACTCTTGCCATGCACTCTAACTCAATTGTTTGTGTTTTCAAACCATGATGCTCTGATTTTTATTTATTTATTTAGTTTTATTATTTACTTATTTAAAAAAAAAAATAAGAAAAGACAGGTTGCTAGTTTACCATAAACTTTTTGTTTTAGGTTATAAATTTTTAACGGGATTGTTGTTGGAATAAAAAAAAAAGTTTTTATCAATAGAGTTGTCAAAAAAATTGCGTTAAAAAAAAATTATATTGGATGTTTGGTGACACATTGTAATTAAATTATTTTTATTTTATTTTGTAATAATATTTTTAAAAACATTTCTATTACTAATTTTACAATAATATATCTTTTAATAGGATGTTACCATATTTGGTAATAGTAACTTTATTAAAAATGAGTATAATTGTTTTTATAAAAAATAAGGATATAATTGACTAATGAAAAATGATTACTTAAAATATTCAACCTTTAAATTTTAGCTTCATTTAAAGGGCTCAACTGAGTTAAATTTGGCAATCATTAAATGCGTTTTTAATGATTACCAAATATATCTATACACAATTTTTTAAATTATAATTGTTTTAAGCAGTAAAGAAGCAATCCCAAACGAGCTCTTATAATTGTGTATAAAATAAAAATTACTAAATCAAAGATGGATAGATAGATATTCATTTACCAAATCAGAGATAGTGATTTGATCATCATCTATGATTTGGTTTTTAAAATAGGATGTGTCAATTTATTATTGGTCCACATCAGCGGTGGTATGTTGGAGATCTTGATGATTTAAGTATTGTCAACACCTTTTTAAAATAATAATATTTAGATTCTCACTAGTAAGGATTTATAACATATTCACTATTGATGTGAACCAATAATAAATTGATACGTCCTATTTTATCAATAATAAATTGACACGTCCTATTTTAATTACTAAATCATAGATGATAATCAAATCACTATATTTGATTTGGTAAGTGAATATCTACCTACCCAATATGTTATAGAGTGAGGACCTAAGTATCATAAGTATTATCCCAAATTTAATATGATAGGTAAATCCCTCTTACCAATCAGAGATGGTGATTTAATTATCATTTATAATTTTGTAATTAAAATAAGATGTATCTATTTATTATTGTTTCACATAAATGTATATTCTCACTAATAATACCTAAATATTTTTCTTTAAATTCATATTCAAGAACTTTGAGAAATAAAAACCTTATAACAACTTCAATAAATGAACTAACTTTTATCGTCTAATATTTTCGGTAAATTTTATTTTATTTTTAATAACTTGGTAGCAGAAAAGATTTCAGCTTTCTGAATGTCAGTGAGAACATTATCCCAAAACAAATTAACATTTCATTTTAATATTTTTTAGACTAGTGGTATTCAGGCTCCAATAAGCGCTTCACTTTCTTTTTCATCTAAAACAAAATTATAAAGAAGCCACAATATCCTCTACCTACATTTTTTAATACAATAATTACTTTATTATTATTATTTTTTATTTTTACCAATTTTAGTGGTAGAAAGAAAGAAAAAGGTGCGGAGAGAAAATATAAAGGAAAGAATGAATTTATTTTGTTCGGTAGAGATGATACAAAGAAAGAAAGAGAATAAAAAAAATGATCCATCCTTCTTCCTTTACAAAGTTTTAAATAAAATATTATCATAAATTATACTAGTTTTAAATTACAGTACTATTCTCTATAAATTACGATATTATAAATATTACTGAATAAAATGATAAAAATAATTTAAAACTAATATAGTAAATTGTGAGTTTTTTCCTCTTCTGTTCTATCCAAAGTACCAAGGGCAGAGCTAGAAATTAAATTTAAGGGGCATAGCGTAAAAATAAAAAAATAAAAAAAAAATAAAAAATCACGACAATAAATATAGATTATATAAATAAAGAATAAAAATTACTCAAAATAATATGTCAATTAATAAGTAGTTTAAGAAAGATAAATAGTTGAAAAAAAAAAAAATTTAAAAAATGAAAGAAAAATGAGAGAATTTTAAAAGGAAAAAAAATTGAAGTTTGATTCAAAAAGGGAATTTTGACTTTTTTTAAAAGGAAATTAAACGAGTTTAAAGAATAAAAAAGAGAAGAACTACAAAATTTAAGAAAATAAAAATTTTTGGGGGACATTATATGAATTTTTCATATACACATGTAAAATATATAAATTTAGTATATATATTATAGTAAGCGGGGCCAGAGGCACGTGCCCCCTGGGCATACACTGGCTCCGCCTCTTATCCAACCTAACAAAAATATAAAAATATACAATCTAGGATATTTTATCCATCCCTTATTCACTCCTTTCCATTCAAATTTTTTCTTTCCTATGAAACGCAACATTAAACATGGTATGGAAGATACTAACAATGTAAGAGTCAAAAAGAATTGTGACTTTTGAGATTTTTCTATAATTTTATTTTAGGAAAAAAATGAAAAGGGAACGCTTTATTATAATTTTGGAGCTAAAATATCATCAACCTTTTTTAAAAAAAAATAATGATACTTGCACCAATGAATTTGGCATAAATGTTAAGTTTTACCGTATTTAATTGATTATTAATGCATTAGATAAGGTAACGAAGGGTCCTATTTTTTTATATTTGGCCCAACCACCAATTCTGCTTAATTATTGGGTGCAAGTATAATTGCTTTTTAAAAAAATTATTTGAATTCTTTGCCATTTTTCAAGATTCAAACCTGTTTGTCGCGTTTGGAGATTCTAACATTTATTGATTGGACCAAGTAATGGCCAATCAGGAAATTCTACCAGTCAACATCTTTTAAAATTTCAAATACATGGTCTCAAAACTTAATCGCATTGTAGCGTTTCCATCCAATATTATAGTATTCCATTGCTACTAGTAACAATCTAGTGGGTAGGTGGGGTCATGAGTGCGCAGGATAAGCAATGTAAAAGCCAATTCCCAGAGTCTCTATCTTATTTCTTTCGTCAGCAGAACAGTCATTCTTTTGATGTGTGTGTCTATATATATATATATATATATGTGTATATTGACCATCTATACATTCTGATTGAAATCCCATCACAAACGCTCTGACTTTTTTCCGAGCCAAAAAGAAATGGAGGGTCTGCCCTCTGGGTATCGTCCCAATGTTGGAGTCTGTCTCATAAACTCCGATGATCAGGTAATAATACTATGCTATTTTCTGCTCTTAATTAGAATAATCTTTTTCATTCTGTTGATTTATAAGCTGATAAAAAAACCTAGAAATTTGTTGATAGATGTTTATAAACTCACTCTGACATACCGTTTGGATTTTAACTATAACACATAATTTTTTTAGTGTAAAATTTGAGTATTCAATACTGCCGTAGTTTGTGGTATATATGTTTTGGTGTTGAATTTGCGTGTGGAGGCCTTGATATTTGTATTTCTTTTTCTTATTTAGAGTTGATATTGTATTGATAGCAAAATTACAATTTCTAGCAGAATTATAGAATAATCGGATTATACTATTCTTTCTTTTTGGTAAATAAATTATACGATAAATGGAATTAAATTAGTCGATGTTAGTTGGTTTTTTTATTTTTATTTTTTTTTATTTTTACTTTTTTGGGGTTTGTTGGTTGAATATTTTAGTCCTGTTTGGGCAAAAAAGAGACCGTGAAGGTTTTAATTATTGTACTAATTTTTATCACATACAAGAGAAAGCCTACTTTGTTTTCTAATGCTCAATACCCTCATATCTGTGTCTTAAAAGAGAGAGAGAGAGAGAGAGAGAGAGAGAGCCGATTACTGGCAGCAATTTTTGAAATATTGATGATTACACGGACATATGGTGAAGTAAAAGGCCACTACCTAATATTGGTACTCCTACAAGGGGTTCTGGGAGTGTGGACCGGAGAGAGACCAAACATTCGTCATTATTTAGATAAAATGGCTGCTTATAGATATTTTATTTTATTTTTATTACTTATCAAAAAAAAAAAAAAATGGCTGCTTATAGACTGAAACCGTATTCTCACACTTTGCTATCATTGCACAGAGAAGTGGTCCCTATAGATATAAATCAAAGTGGGTTAAAGTTTTGTAATTATTTTTATGGAAATTTGGCCAATTTGAAGACTACACACACATGGACACTTGTAAAAAGTATGAAATATAAAAATTTGTCCAGAAAATTCCTTAGAAGCTGATGTGAATAAAATTTATAGAAGATTTACACAATTACTCTTAGTTGATGTTGACTCATCTTTAGCATTTGATTGATATGGGTTAAATCTAAATGTGAATGGGAATTTCTGAATGGTAAACAGCGATGCTACCTATTATTGATGCTGCCAGTTATTTGGTTGATGGAGTATATGTGGTTGAAATCAACAGATTGTTAAAGAGTGTTCTACTTAGATATGAGCGTGTTAATTTTATTAAATTATCCTGGAATTGATATTTTTGGATGATATTTTTGGATGGATATAATTCAGGATCCTGTAGAGCTTAGTTACTCTGTTGGCATCTTTGGCCAAGAATCTGAACCTTATGATACAAATGTATTTCTGCATAATAGATTTGTGCTGCATATGACACTTTTTCCAGCTCCCTGTTTGTTCTTTCATGCCACTACACAATTTCACTAGACTTCTTTCTCTGGGTTGGATCATTGAAGAAAGTACTGAGGAAGGGTTTTCGTGAAGTGAATTGTATTTGTTTGCCTCTGAGTCTGAGTGTTTTTTCTCGTCATTTTACAGTTGTAGTTGGGTGGATGAATGGAAAAAATGGTAACCCTCTGTCGTTTATTTGCAGGTTTTTGTGGCGTCAAGATTGAATGTCCCAGGAGCATGGCAAATGCCTCAGGTAAGCCTCAACGGGTGCTTTTTTTTTTTGGCTTTGTACGTATCACTGGTTCCCATGACTTAGGAAATGATGTAAATAACCCACCCTATCTAGGGCACAACTTCAGTTACACAAGGTTGTTCATTAACTGATGAACTTATTCATGTAACTACGTAGGAGCATGAAGTTCCATAATCTATTCACACCTTTTCTTTCCTAACTAAAACATGTTGGGACATAATTTAGCCATGATATTAAAGTGTTTTGGCCAAAGAGGTCACAGTCCGTCCATCCTCATTTCTGTATTAACCCAGGGAACAATTGCTGCACGCCTAGAAGACCCTTATTGTTCCAAAGATTAATCATTTCAATAGTAGAAAAACAGGAGAAATATTTAAATCCCATGATTCTAGGCTAAAATATCTCAGTTAGTACAGTAAGTCATTTCTCATGATTCACGCTAACATATCTCGGCTAACACTCCCCCCGAAGTTGGTGCGTGGAAATTTGAGATGCTCAACTTGGACAATGCATCCTCAAACATGGTCTTAGGGACGCCCTTTGTAAGAATGTCTGCAAGTTGCTGAGAGAGAGTGACAAATGGAATGCAATTATGACCTAAGATGATATTCTCTCAAATGAAGTGCCGGTCAACCTCTATATGCTTAATCCTGTCATGTTGAATGGAATTTGTTGTAAGGCTAATGGTACACTTGTCACAATAGAGTGGGAATGGAAGTGACATTGGAAGGCACAAGTTTGTCATAAATGTTTTCAGCCATAGTAGTTCACACTCCAAGAGTCATGCCCCTATACTCTATTTTTGCAGTCAATTGAGAGAAACAACATCCTACTTCTTACCATGCCAAGTAACCAAGTTGCCACCAACAGTAGTGCAATATTCAAAATTCAACCTCCTATTTGAAATTGATCATGCATAACCAACATTTGTCTTAGGCCTAAACTCGCTAGTGACCATGATTGGCTAACAAAATACTGCGTCCCGAACACCCCTTCAAATAGTGAAGGATATGAATAGTTGCAACAAGGTGAGGGGTGCGAGAAGAGTGCATGAATTGACTTATGACACTCACAACATAAGCAATATAAGGTCGAGTACGTAGATGAATTTCCTAACAAGCCGATGATATTAACCAACATCCGAAAATAACTCCCCCTTAGAATCAGTTAAGTTAACCAATTATTTTACTCAATCGGAGTATCAACAAGACGAGCGCCATGCTCACCAAAAGCACAAAACAATTTAAGAACGTACTTGAGTTGAACCTTGGAGTGAGCCACCTCAATGGCCAAGAAGTATCAAAGGGAACCAAGATCCTTAAATCTCAAACTGGCGACCCCGATAGTGTCATCTCTAGTAAGAACAATATCATCTACATACACAATGAGAGCAACTGTCTTATTGCTTGAATGGCGTATGAAAAAGCAGTGATGGACCCGGAAAATTTTTGGGGGGGGGTTGGGGGGCAGTCTTTTAATTTGTGGGGGCAAACTTATATAGTGGGTTCATTTTTGTAATTTCAATGGGGTTTTCTTCATAAATTTTCAAAAATTTAAAGTATAAAATGCAACAAAAAAAAATCAGTGGGGGCGAATTGTAATTTTTAGTGGGGGCATTGTCATAAATTCTTAAAAATTTGAAGTTTAAAATGCAAAAAAAAGAATCTAGTGGGGGAGAATTGTAATTTTAGTGGGGCATCTTCATAAATTAAAAAAAAAACGAGGTATAAAATAAAAATATAACAAATCCAGTGTTGGGTCCGTGCTTGTGAAAAAGGATGATAAGCTGCACTCTTATAGAAACCGAACTGGAGCATGGCAGTGCCAAAGTGATTAGACCAACTTGTAGGTGACTGTTTGAGGCCATATAGGGTGCAAAAAAGACAGCAGACCATCCCAGAATGTGCAGTACAGCGAAAGCCCGGAGGGGGGAGCCATATATACCTCCTCCTGCAAGTCACCATTGAGAAGGCGTTCTTGACATCTAACTGAAATGGTGGCCAAGAATGAATCGCAACAATGGAAAATAATAGGCAGATGGTGCTCTTCTTGGCAACAAGGGCAAAAATCTTGTGGTAATCTATGCCATGGGTCTACGCATAACCCTTGGCAACTAATCGGGCCCTATAGCAAGCAATTGACCTGTCTGGATAATGCTTAATTGCAAACACCCAACGACACTCCATAACCTACCTCCGGTTGGATTTGGGATTTGTGTTGACAGAAAAGTCTACCATCTGGATTATTCACTATTTTTCAACTTATATCCGTTATAGAATTTGCATATCAACTATCCTTGTAGCGGAAAACCCTTCTTGTTTTGTGTCTATTGTCACTATTCTTTACTCAAGTATTTCATTTCATTTAAAAATCCATTGTATGTATATGATTGACTTTCAATGAGATAGACCTAATTTTTGGTGAACCCTCACCATTTTTTCCTCCTATATGCTTATGTGATAAATAGACAGTCCTGTTCTCATCAAGTTCTTCATGGCCTAACGGAGTTCATATTTGACTATGTAATTCAATTCAACAATTTTAATTTTTTATTTTGGCGGGCGCATTAGACTATTTTTGGCACCATGTACACATAGAATGAGCTCTCTTAAACATTGTGTCGTATTAATTTACCACAACCTCATTTTGTGCTGGGTTTCACTTTCACCTGTAATAAACTCAATTCTTTTAGTATAATCTAGTTTAGTCAGCTATTATTTTTCATTTTCTAGCTGTCATTGTTCAGCCAATGAATAATTTTCTGAATTGTCAATGTTAGGGTGGTATTGAAGATGCTGAAGAGCCAAGGTCTGCAGCAGTTAGGGAATTACGAGAGGAGACTGGAATAGTTTCTGCTGAAATAATTGCTGAGGTTGGTCTAAAAACGATACTCTATAATGATTCACTTTTCTGTTGTAATAACAATGTGCATATAACAGGTAGCACCTGCTATGATTGTCGTGATGAAACCCTCGCTTTTTCTTTCCGTCTCATGACTGATCAGAACTTATACCTTATATTCATATACTTTCTGTCTCATGACTGAACGGTTTGTTGAGTGGTTGTGTAAAACAGTATTTTTTTATAATGCCCTTATATTTATTTAAACACCATGTCCTCAAGATATATACTTTTAGCTTGTGCAAAAATGATAATAAATAAATTTAAAAATGAAGGGAAAGCAGGATCAGGTCATTTGGATTACTAGTACTCTGAATGCATCACTCTGAATGGTTTGGTGAATAATTGTATATAACTGTAGACTATGAAGGTGGCTTATGTATTTGTGTGATGTCGTATTATCAAAATGCTAACTGTTGGCTCATCTGCCATCGAAAGAGGAGACAATGGGGCCAAGGCTTATTTGTGGTAAAAGCAGCAACCACTCCTTACTGTGATACAGTCTCTTTTTCCTCAACTTTCAGCGGTAGATATTAAAACAATTGTGATAAAGTACTGGTCATATTCGAGTTGACTGAATACAAATGAAAACCTTGAATACTTTCTGAAGCAGTTAATATGATATTAAATGTTGCCTTCTGAATTTTAATAGTAGACCTGACTTAAATCAAGAAATCTTTAATCTATAATGGGGCCTTGAATCCACAGGTTCCAAAGTGGTTGACTTATGACTTCCCACCTGCTGTGAAGGCCAAAGTGAATCGTCTGTGGGGAGGTGAATGGCATGGGCAGGCACAGAAGTGGTCAGTATTTTCTTCATTCTTCTTTTTGGGTTTGGGTGAAGCAGAGAGTTGCATCATATCATAGATCATGTTGCAGTTATATATTTCTAATTGACTAAACGATAGTTGATGCAATTGTCAATCTAAACTTGGCAATCAGCTAATAGTTACCCAATCCACTTTGTTCCCTGGCCTCTTGCTATATTCAAGTCGATTTTATTAATTTAAATTTTAGTGAATAGGTATGGACATGCACAATGCAATCCATCCTTTCTGTGTCCTGCATCCCATATCCTTCTTTTTATTCTCTCTCTCTCTCTCTCTTACGGTATTCCTTTATGCTATTGCTCTAACTGAATAGAAGAAAACTTGATAATTATATCAGTAATATGCACATGATATCTGCCCATTCGTATTTTGTGTTGGCTGCTGAATTGAAACACATTGGGGATCTATGTGTTGGCTTGCCAATGGGAGGAAATGTCTGTTTATTCATTTTGTTTTTCTTTAAACCTATTATATTTCACCAGTAAACTAATTCTCATCTGCTATGAACTCATCCTAGAACAAACTCATCCTAGAACAAATTTGTCTGGTCAATTTGAGAGCATTGGGAGCATCACATTCTGATTGAGTTTCAGGCTGAATATGTTTAATGCTGTTTCCCATAGACAGCATATTTTGACACAACTATGCAGGTAATTTTATATGCAATGAACTAGGTTATCGAGTCCATGTAAACTAGGGTGCATTCTCCTCTAGTTTCAGCACTTAATTCTGAACAGAGTAAGTGCTTATCCAATTAAGTGCATTTGATAATGCAATTTGAATATCACTTAAAAGAATAAATGCCACTTAAAATGGAATAAGTTTTAAGTGACAGTGACATCACTTATCATTGAATGTTGAACACTTAAAATTCAATATATGTACATATATTTAAAAAGTTCGCAATTTGCAATTATTACTTAAAACTTCAGCACTTAAAATTTAGCTCTTAAAATTTTCAGATTAATCAAACAGCATGATTTAAGTGGAATCCACTTCTATCTGTGGTTTGACTTTGTCGAACCCATAATCGGACCTTAATTGCTTATTTTCCATTCTTCAATGGAAAAGTGAGGTCTTACTGAAGGGTAGGGACTCAAACCCTATTCCTTTTAGCTGTATCCAGTTTATAAATTACCAAAGATGGCGACCTTGTGTTCTAGCAAGCAGAAATATATATTTAGCAGTTTTATGTATCATAGGCATGCAAACAGTATTAGCTAAAACTGGATATATACATATTTGTATACACTTGAAGATGCATAGGCACTGTGGAAGCTCTTCGCACATTATGACAATTTTAAAACTGCCACTGTTGCTTCCTCTATTGGAAGATGCAGCATCAATCTGATATCAAATTCTGATATTATTGTCATTGAATGGATTTATCAGCTCTTTTCTTTGTATCACATGTTATGATACACACACGCTCGCCGACAGAGACAAACACTATGGGTTTCGTACTCTGATAATTATAGATTGAATCACATAGGTTACAGATGTGGAGCATGTGGTGGTTGGATTTGGATTAGGTTAATGCTTTGCAGTTGTCCCTTAAAGATTTTGTAGAAGTGTTCTCTTACAGGGAGGAGTCGAGGGCCATTCTTCTGTGGTCATTGCTTCTGTGCTTCATATTACATTTTGCATTAAAGGTCACAGGCCTGTGGATGACCTGTGAGCTGAAGATAAGCGGATTTTTAAATAAAAAAAATAAAAAAAGCCTAAAGGTTTAACCTGGAGTAGTCAGCCAGTGAGTAACTCAGTCGGCTTGTGTATCGTTGTTCTCCACAATTCTTGCTACTCTTCTGATGGAGTTTAACTTGTTTGGTGTCACCGTACAAACAAATCTGACACACATGTACCAAGACAGTCAAAACAGCCTTAATAAATTCCGAAATTCTAACAGAATATCCTCTACCTTATTAAACTTCCGAAGCATGTATGATTAAGAGCATCCTTATTTAATTTGTACAAGATTTCTTTTTTCCTGAATTTTGTACAATATTTATGGACAGATTTATTGTTTTGTAAACATTGTGTCATTGTCGTGAAGTATTCTAGGACCTGATGTTTGATTTCAATATCCTTCAATCATTTTAGAGCTCTCACTCTATGTGGAACCTAAGTGAAAGATTTTATGCTTAAAAGAAACTTTCCTTGTCCTAAATATATTAGTGTTTGGGGGAGCTTTTGAGAGGCTGAAAAAGGAATTTTAAGCCTTGAAAGTTCTTCCTATAAATATAATACTACATCTTCTCGAAATCAAAATGTTAATGTTGATGTTATTAGCTCATTGTGAATTGAAAAGCCTTTTCCCTCTCCTTGGGCTTAAATAGCCTTCATATTATAAAATTAACGTTCAGTTTGGCTTGATGTTTTGTGCCCATGAGAAAAATTGGTGCATACTACCATAATAGCCCATCTGCATCAGGGGGACAATTAGTTATTAATTTTGGTAAAAATTCCATGGTCAATAGATTCGCCAAATATGCTAGCAAACAGAGCAGTAGAGAGAATGGACTGTAAAACTTTTGTTACTTGAATATTTATAACACATTTAGTTTGTGCATAGTCGAGTTTTTTGTCATTTTGAAAATGGAAGTTCTTTCTACTGTCATATTTAATGGTTGGATCTGTAGGCGTTTAGTATTAGGCTTTGCAATTGATGGGAAAAATTTATTAAAAAAATTTATGCTTCTTAACTTGTGTGTGTTAAAAAGTTTATATAATGTAGGTTTCTTATGAGATTAACAAAAGATGATAGTGAGGTCAACTTAGCAAGTGGAGAAGTAGATCCAGAATTCTCCGAATGGAAATGGGCAAGTCCTGATGAAGTCGTTGAGCAGGTATGCTGCAATTTTACTTCCCAATTCATTCTAGAATTTATTAATATCTTTGTTTGACATTTTATGACATGAGATATGACTTGTAACAGGCAGTGGACTACAAACGGCCGACGTATGAAGAAGTTATTAGAACCTTCAGACCTTACCTCAATGAAAGTGGACAATCTGCTAAGTGTCAGTCAACAAAATGGTGAATGTAGTAGTGCATGTGTTTTACAGCTCCTTCAATGTTTCTAACACACTTCAATCATAAAATTTGAAGTGTAGGATTTTACTTTGTTCTTTGTAAATGGTTGTGGCCGTTAAACCTTCAAATTAGGTGGTGGTTTAATTGTAATAAAGATGTTTCTGCAATATTTCACCATTTTCCATGATTTTATGATGTGTTTTGGTGTTGAATGAAAGGAGAGAAATGGGTTTGTGGGCTTGTATTGGAGAAGTGAAGGGTGTGAAGCTTTTTCGGGTACTCATCAGAAAATGTACAAAGACTATCTCATTGAGCCAGAGCCAAAACTGCTTCCAAGAGGGCATATGTAAACAACTAGCATTCAAAATAATCTTCTGATGTTACAGATTTAGTAGAACAGGTAATCTGTCGTGGCTGCATTGCCATAGGAAGATAAGAATTTTCCTTTTGGATATAAGCTTCCAAATACCCTTCAATTTGTTTTTGAACTCATGATGAATGTTATTCCTGGATTTAATAGGATATATTCGTTGGACTTGAGGATGTTGAGAACCACTAAGTATGCTGATGTAAGTGAGAAGGATCCATTTGGATTGAGCCCCCAAACCAGTATCCGCTTGGAGGGTATATGATCTAAGGATTCATGTTGATGTGTTGGACTTAGGTCAGACTAGGTAAACCTAATTGAAATGTTAAGAGATGGTGTACTTGGAGGTACTTGAATGACTTGATGTTGATCTAAGGGGTCATGTTAGGTGTACTTAAAGTTAAGAACATAAGTATTGCTTGATTTGAATGATTTGAGGAGTGTATATGGTTCTTGTAAGGAAACTAGGGTTTTGACTTTAATGGAAGATGAGCATGTGGAATGTTCTTTTTGAGAAACGATGATATTTTGGTCAGTTGATCTTGAAAAAGTGTTCGAACTTATCTTTTGAAAAAGAATATTCAAGGGTGAAAAGGGGGCTTTGAGTTTGAAGGTGCTTTCGAAAATGTTTGAAAAAAAGGGTCTGGGTTTGAAGACTGAGGGGGGACCTTTGGCAAAAGTCTTGAATTTAATTTGAAAAATATATATCATGTATTGGATTTGATTTGTTTTGAAAATTGACTGAATTTGAAAGAGGACTTCACTGAAGAGGCTTTGAACTTTAGAAGTTTTTTGTTTTTTCGCCCGTCAATGGTTAAAGAGTTATTAGTTAGGAATTAAAGTGGATAAGAAGAAGGGAATTCGTAGCATGTCTCCTTCTGACTTGAAAAAAGTGACTTTTAACAAAACCACGTGTAATTATCAAGGGCCTTGGAGCGTGGAGTGTGGTAAATATTGTACACCAGTGTTAGTATTTTTGGGTGAACCAAATTAAAATGTGAGTTCTTGACATGTGTGTTGGATCTGTTTTCTCTTATTATTTTGCTTAATTTCGGAACAGTAGCCTATTTCCTTTACCTCTCAAAGTATACGGTGAGGGTTCGAATCCCCAAGGGGACAAAGTGGATTTGTGACTGATGCATTTATTTTTTGCCAATGAAAAAAGTAAAAGCAAAAAACAAAACCCCATGTAATAAACTTTGAAGGGAGTTAATGAAAATCTAGATTTTACAAAGTTTAAGGTTTTATGCTGGAGTTACGATATTTATAAAAACCATGCAAAATTAAATTTTTTTAAGTTTTAAGAAGGGTTAAATGTTATTACACCCCCTGAGATTTGAGTTTATTACTCTCATATTAAACATGAGCAAAAGTTGCTATGACACCCCCTTCAAGCTTGGTTTAATTTGCCCTCACACCCTTAATAAAATTAAATGCCTAAATTACCTTTCATCCCTACTTTCTCTCTCTAACCACCCTTAAAAAGGTGCTTCGGTGAAATTAGTGAAATAATCACATGTTCTCTTTTTCTTTCCTTTTCAAATTGCTGGTGTACCTCCTTATTTCCATTTAAACTATGATTATCGATTGGTCCCACTGTTCCCAGTACATAAAATAATTTGTTATTGCCATTGAATTCTTATTCATTATTAAATGTTGCTAGACCAATGTTTTTTTGAAGATCCAGTAATCCTATCCAAATTTCTGAAGTTCTTTTAGTTCTTTATTTGTAAATTAATATATTTGAGCTCAAACAATAGATCAGATTTTGTGGACTCTGATCTATTGTTTCTGAGTGGGTTTGGATTAAATTATTTAGATGGAAAGTTGAAAAAAAATTTAGAATATAAGTCATCTGTAACTCCAAATATTTAACAAAATATTATACAATTTAAAATTAAAGAACTTGACACTTAAGTTTGGTTAGTAAATAGTGAGAAATTGGAGAGAAAACTTTTTTTAAAAAAAACAAACATTTGGAGAGGAGTTGATGATGGTGGTAGAGAGAGAGAAGGTGAGGCGCCAATGGTGGTGATGGCGGCGGGGAGAGGTGGGGCATGGTTGGTGGCGGAACTAGGATTGCAAGGTAAAAGGGGGCTAAAAATAATTAAACCCATAATTATTTAGTGTGTCATCCATACTCTAAATACAGAATTATCATAGATCAGTTATTCAAATAAACCCAATAATCTATAACCTTCTAACACATTTATACTTCCAAATTCTAACGTATTTTCACAGTCAAGAATCCACTGAAGTCTGTTTCATACAAATATTAAAACAAACACCTACAAAAATGCAAGATATATATGTTCCTTATCAATAAATTCACATTAGAAAGTAAGACATATGTGCTCCACTCCCGACTAGTTATTAATCCATTATATATTAAATTACCTAATTTAACAAGAAATCATCAAGTCATCAACAAAGCCCTTTTTTTTTCACAAAAATAAAAATCAATATTTCACTGGATTAACAATAATAATTTATGATATCCATCCACCTATGCCTTAGTGCCTTACACACGAAGAGTTTAGGTCTTCTTCTAACAATGTGTTTGATTTACATATTGAGCCGGGCCCTGTTATGTTTTATTATAGTTTATTTTGTGATTGAGCCTATCCATGGTTCGTAGGCTTGCTCATATTTTAAGGCTTGGCCTTTGTAAATTTTATAACTCTTTTAATTTATAGAAATACTATGGATTGGGTTGGGCTAATAGGAAGAGGAATAGTAGTACATGGGCTTATAGGAACAATATTACTAATTTTTTTTTCAATTGGACCTGGGCTATAGCCTAGGTTAGCCCATTACTAGTTCCTCCCTTGGATGGTGGTGGAGTAATATATATGATCGATATATATATCAAGGGTGGGTAAAGAGCAAAAGTGAAGATGGAGGGTAGTCTAGGTATTTAATTTTATCAAAGGTGTAAGGGAAAATTAAATCGAACTTGATGGGGTTGTCATAACAACTTTCGCTTAGATTTAATCTGAGAGCAATAAACTCAAATCTCAGTGGGTGTCGGAGCATTTAACCTTTTTAAGAATTGTAAACCTTAAATTTACTAATTTTAGGATAATGCATGCTTTGAGGGAATTTATTGAATTTCACAGGATTTTGATCATTCTAAGTGTACTTGCAAATTTTAAAGTCCTCCGTATTGGGCCGAATCATAGTACACTTGCTGGGCCTAGAAGGAAATTACCACCTAGCCCATATATCTCAGAACAATTCCAGTATACCATTAAGTACATCTAATTCCAAAGTAATTATACAGTTAGAGGCGACCAATTACAAGTGGCTTCAAACAGAACAATGAAGATTTTGATTTGGAACTGTTAGGGTTTGGGAAAATCCCTGACAGTTCCTCAATTAAAAAAACTTCAATTGTTTCATTCCCATCAGGTTTTAGCTTTGACTGAAACCAAGAATGGTAGTCATTTACCGGAGAAAGTTTAGAAGGAGTTAGGTTTCCCAAATAGTTGTTTTTCAAATCCTATTGACACGGCAGGGGGTATTGTGCTTTGGTGGATTGAGGAAGCTTCTATGCAAGTGGTTGTTCAAAATCATTTTCAGATCACAATGCCTTGCTGGCGCCGTTAACAGAAAAAGAAATTGAGAGTGCAGTGCTTGCTATGGTTCCCTTCAAAGCCACTGGGCTTGACGGTATGCCACCTTTGTTCTATCAAAAGTATTGGGTTGTGATAAAGGATGACGTAATGGTTGCGATTTCTAGCTTCTTTCATTCTGGTTATTTACTGTCATCTCTTAATCATACTAATATAGTGCTTATTCCTAATAATACATTGCCTACATTAGTGTCTCATAATCTCCCTATTTCTTTATGTAATGTTGCTTACCGTAATATTGCTAAAATTATGACTTGCCGTTTAAAGATGGTGATCGACTCTCTAAGCAGTGAGTCCCAAAGTGCTTTTATGACAGGTTGTCATATTATGGAAAACATTCTTTTGACTCGTGAAATCCTTCATTACTTGAAGGACAAGTGCCATGGGAAGAAGACCTTCTTAACTCTCAAGCTTGATATGACTAAAGCGTACGATCGACTTGAATGGCCTTTCCTTCTTAGCATGTTGCAGAAATTGGGTTTAAACTCTTATTGGATTAAACGATTTCTTAATGCTTGTTTACAGTCTTATACTCAATTGTTATTAATGGCAAACCAGTGGGTCTTTTCCATCCCTCTCGTGAGCTGCGATAATGTGATCCTTTATCGCCCTATCTCTTCATCATATATGCAAGGCCCTCTTATTGGCGTTCCAAAGGGCTTAACAAATGAGGGTATTAACGGGAAAATCTATAAAAGAGCTCCTTCCATATCCCATTTATTTTTTGCGGTTGATTCGATCATTTTTTGTCAAGCTTCTACAGGAGAAATGTCCATGTTGAAACACATTCTTCATCAGTATGAGTGTGCGTCAGGCCAGTAAATAAATTTTGCGAAGTCATCAATATTTTTCTCAAAGAATGCTTCACTTTCCCTCCGGTGCAACATTAGTCATATTCTTGAATTATCAGAAGAAGGCATGCATGCGCGGTATTTAGGAGTGCCCGCCATTATTGGTCGATCAAAATATGATGTTTTTCAATTTATCCTATAACAAATGAAAGAAAGGTTGGCTTCATGGCGGCGATACTCACTCTCGATAGATGGAAAATAAGTTCTTATTATGGCTGTCTTAAATGCCCTTATGACATATGATTTGTCTTCATTTAAGTTGCTTCGTTCTTTATGTTGGGATCTGATGAAACAAGTGCAACTGTTTTGGTGGGGCAATTAGGCTAAAGGAAAA